CACCTATGGATGGGATGTTGGGGAAGTAGAGGAAGGCAAACAAGGGAGCTGCAAGGAGGAAAATGGAAATGGAAGAGGGAAGAGGAGGAAGGGAACGGAAAAAACACTGAGCATTGCAATCCCAAAGATGAAGTCTGAGATAAAAAAGACTGGTATGGGACGCTGGGCCCGGTTCCCAGCACGTGCTGCTCCCCATGAATAGACTGGAGCATTTGATCAAAAAAAAAAAAAAAAAAGACTGGGTACCTTCCAGGTGGTTCATCTCCACTTTAAACTGCGGTTGCGAGGCTCTTTTTTTTTTTTTTTTTTTTTTTTTTTTTTGAAAGGCTCATTAGTAGCAGAAAGGAAACCACGTACACCCATGCAGACTATGAGATCACACTAGCTCACATAACAACCAGCATATTCAACAACCAACGGTAGCCATATTATATGAACCGCGCTGTGCTGGGTTGGTGCTTAGAGAGAGGTAGGGGGGGGCTCATGGGTTAGACCTTGGTTAGCCTAGCATTAGACACTGCCTATATGGCTATGGGTGCCCTCACTGCTCACGGGACTAGTTGAGAACTTTGTGCCTATAGCTCCCGAGGTACCCGTATAAACGAGGCTTGTACGCTACCGTCTTCACCCGAGTAGAACGCCTGGTCATTATAGCTGTATTTGGCATAACTTTCAGCCCAGATACGGCGATAATTACCGGGCGTTCTATTCGGGTGAAGACGGTAGTGGGGGAGCTCATTCAGCGTCAGGGCCGACGTCCGCTGTCTGGTCAGGTTGCAACAGTAGAGAGTGATGTTCCTCGCATGAGGTAAGATAGAAAAAGGAGTGGGGGTGCGCCAGGAGATATATCGAGAGAGATGGTAGGATGGGAGTCCCGTGAGTGTGTGAAAAAAAAAAAAAAAAAAAACCGCGGTCGCGCACGGTAGGAAGATGTGCTCGACTGTTTCCATCCTTTTCCTTGCCGGTGTGACACACGTGCGGAGGGCACGTGCGGAGATGGTGATGAGAGAGAGAGAGAGAGAGGAGATGGACACACACAAGCAGCAGCAGCTGAGAGAAGGTCCAGTCCGGCTCGATGAACGAACGAACAACTGAATGAATGAACCTCCCGCCCTGGGCCTACGCCGAAGTGATGTACCGGCCTAGGTCCAGGTACGAGACAACCTGGTACCGGTGTGGGGAAACCCGGGGAGGGGCTCCTACCGCTCGCTGAAGCCAGGGGCTACGCCGCTTGTCACTCGGCGCGCCCACTTCCGAGGTCCTCAGCGGCAGATAGGGTGTTGGGGGTTGTTATCTCCTGTTTCCCCTGCCCACAGAAGCGCTTTAATCTAGCGTTATCAGATCATAATTTTCTTGAGTAATTTTGTTCAATGAGCGCTTCCCCCTTTTCTGGAGTCAGAGYCGGATGTAGATTGGGCCTGATCATGAGGGTTATCTGTTTTGACTCTAACAAGTTCGGYTTTAAAAGGGAGAGTGGTCCMATCAGGYGAGTCGATTTCCAGAGAATAAACAGTCCCTTCAGCATGCTTAATTACCAGTAAGCTAGAGAGTCAAATCAGCAGGCTCGATCAGATGTGCAGCGGAGCAATCAACAGGTCCGATTTTATAAGAGCAAAYGGACCACTCAATAGGCTTGACTTGCAGGAAGCCAGYGAGCCAAATCAACAGGCTCCATTACA